CCTTTTGAAATTATGAAGTCAGCCTACTGAAAGCGAAAACGCAGTTCCTCTTCCGTTTTATGACATCATACGGATGCACAATTGTTCGGAAGAACACAGACAAGCCGACACTAAAACTTTCTCTTCTCTCGACTTCAACGTACATATGTACATACATTCATGTGCCCCTCGCAAAGGCGATAAGAAAGATTATTATTTAACTGTATGTGATATTAACGCCTATCCTAAACTTGTTATGCTGGGTATGTGCCCAAGTTTAGTTTCCTCTGAAAAGGCAAAGAAATTCAACATTGAATCGAATAATCCATGATTACATATAACATATGCATTTAAAATGATGCATGTAAGTACATATATATGTATGGTATGTAGGTTTCAGAAGTATTCGACTGGTCCAATAAAGTGTAAATATTCGATAAGAATTATAGAAAAACATTTTTGACATCCTAAAAGAGAAAGGAATAATAATATATAATTATACACATAAAACTATATTCACATTATTTTAAAACATATTGATATAAACGTTGATTTGTTTTATTTTTAATTGTACTTTAGTATTAAAAATTCACTATTTCTTATTAAATTTCCTTGACTAAATTGTTTAATCTAATAAATTTTATTTATGTCAGTCTGAATTTACATTTGTATACAGCAAACATACCGATTTATTAATTATCTTTATCTTTTTGAAATTTGTTAACGCTTTTTTTAAATCTTTTATATATGGCAATATATTATCCCTGGTTTGAAACTGTTAAGACTATACCAATATGTCCCACTACTGGGACTCTCCGCCATCGTGAATCACATGTATTCACAATAGTTATTGCTTTCTCATAATCTTTGTGCAAACAGCTGGCAACTGCATTAATTTTTCTCAAATGCTCGCGCTAAAAATTTAAGGGGAATATTATATACTTATTAAATTGTATACTGTTTTCTGAAAAATTCGTAAAATTAAATTTATAGTTTAAATCTAAAAAATAAAACAGCTGTCAATATGTCTGGATTTTCCTTTGGAAACCCGTCACAACAACAGGCAGCTGGTTTCAGCTTCGGCGCACCAGCAGCGACGGCAGCTAGCACACCAGCATTTGGAGCTGCTGCAGCGCCTACGTTTGGTGCGAGTGCAACAACAGGCGCAACCGCCTTTGGTGCTGCAGGATTTGGAACAGCGACTACAGCACAAGCGCCTGCATTTGGGGCGACCGTGAATCCAACCGCAACCGTTGCACCGTTCGGTGCAAGTGCTCCAACAGCAGCACCTGCTTTTGGGGCTGCGCCTACTGCTTCTGTAGCGCCCACCTTTGGTACAGCAGCAACAGCGTTCGGTGCAACGGCCGTCAGCAGCGCCGCACCGTCTTTTAACTTTGGTGCTTTGGGTGGTACAGCTACAACAGCTGCAACAAGTGTAGCACCCGCATTTAGTTTTGGTGGACTTGGTGGTACGGCTGCCACGAGTACGGCGACATCAACAGCCCCTGCGCTGGGTTTCAGTGGAATAGGAGGTGGTTTATCGTATGGTAAACCCGCCGGTACTACTACATCGGCTAGTTTAAATTTCGGAACAACAACTACGTCAGTTGCAACAGGCGGAATGTGGAAGCCAACTGCCACCTCAACCACAGCAACAGCTACACCGTTTGTTGGTCTCGGTGGTGTTGATGTAAGTTCAACGCAACCTAAAGCGGGCGATCTGAAACAAGATAGCGTCAAGGTAAATATTTGACTTAATAACAAATAAAAATTAATTGATTTTGTATTTTTTTTTAGATAAAAGAAACTATTGTGCCAGATGAGATTGCAAAAACTGTCGACGCTCTTAAAACTCATATAAAAGGACAAAAAACACTTTCCTCAGATATTGGACGTACATCTACTTCGAAATTGTCCAATGTGTCCAACGAAATAAACAATATTCAGTGGGCGATCCAGGAAATTGCCAACTCAGTAGACACGAACTACAAGCAAATAAAGTTGCTCCGCAAAGAAACCTCAAAAACCATACAGGCTGTTGAAATGGCGCAACGCACGCAGGATACACCAGCCGGTCTACAATTTGAAAATACGGCACCATTTCAATTTTTCCTTAGTTTAGTGGCCAAGTACGAGCAGGATTTGATCAATTTCCGACAGCAAATTGCGCTGACGGAGCATCACATGCGCTCAATAACTAATCCACAGACAGTGTCCCCCGATGATCTGAAACGTGGTTTCCGCCAAATAAACGAGAGCTTCATTTCTCTCGCCGGCCGTTTGCATGAGTTGCACCAGAAAGTTGAAACACAGAAAGAACAATTTCTTAACTTGCGAAAGTATCGACTGCGCGATACTACAAATGTATTTGCAAAGATCGATAACCCTGAAAGCAAGGTCGACACAACAAATATCACCTGCGGACCAACGCCATTTTCTAATATTTCTGCAATGAGTGCATTTGGAAAGAGTTTTAACAATGCATCCGGTGCAACTGCGGGAAGAAGTGGGACTACGGCAACGGCTGGTGCCAAATGATTGAGAAATAACTTGTTAAAAGGAAATAATTTTCTCTGGTTTATAAACTTTGGATATAACCGTTATCACTTAATATTTGCAAATCGTTTTGAATAAAAGAAAGTACGTTTTAAAAATTGAGAAATAAATCATGCTTACCTTATAGGGCATTTAACAATAACATGCAACTGGTTTCTAATATTTACTTTCGTCTTGCACCTCTGGGTAGGTACTCGTACGTATTAAAAAAATTAAATTGTTTTAAGCAATGGCTTAGCAACCATTTTTTATATTTAGCAAGCAATATAGTTCATTATTCTATGCAGGTTTTATAACACTTACTAATTGCATATAAAAGTTATTAATTGGTCAGATTTTATGAACATGTTTTATTTTTAATAATTAATAATAAGTGTAATAAGGGAATTTAATGGAAGGCCTATAATTATCCAATGCAAAATTAACGTTCAACACAATTTCGACGCGTAATATAATCTAATATCAGCGTTTCTCATTTTTTAACAACTTGTATAACATCTTCGTCGGCCATAATATGCGATATGCCAACGCGCTGTGGTGAGTACTTCGTGGAAGTACCCCAAACAAGTCCATATTTAAATTGAGCCGCTAGTGTACGATGTATTGCATGGCATACATGTTCAACTGTGACGCCCTGAAAGAAAACAATATCATTATTATAAAACAGTACCCAGTATCACCGATCCCTAAACAAACCTTTCTTAAAATCAAACCATCGTCAAAATCTGGTGGTGCACCCGGTTTCTTTGTATAAACTCTTATCAGCTGCAACGCGTCCCACAAGGCCTCTAACAGATAGTCCAAATTTAATTTCATGTTGCAACTAACCACTATCGAATTCGGTTGTCGCGCTAAACGATCGACCTCCTCAATTGAAATCTGATCGATTTTGTTGTACACGTACAAGCAGGGCAAATACACACGATTTGCCGTCACTACATCGATAAATTCATCCTCGGTGCAATCCTCGCGGAAAAGTACCTCTGCATTGAAAATTTTGAATGAATGCAAAATAGTTTGCACCATTTTCTCATTACAACGCGTTAGTGAACATGTAGAGTTAAAGCTAAGGCCGCCGCCCTTTTTCTGCTTGAAGTAAATGTTTGGTTTGCGTTTGTTGAGTCTTATACCCACTGATTCCAATTCACGTTCTAATAAATCACGATGTACATTCGGTTTGGTAGCGTCCAACATCATGATAACCAAATCGGCTGTGCGCGCTACGGCAATAACTTGACGACCACGACCTTTGCCCTAAATTATGAAGAAAGAAAAATAAAATGCAATGCATACATACAATAACGGTTATTTCTGTAATATCTACCTGAGCGGCACCTTCTATAATTCCAGGCAAATCTAGTAATTGTATATTAGCACCTTTATAATCAATGACACCAGGAATACATGTGAGTGTAGTGAACTCATAATTGGCCGCCTCAGATTCAGTCTTGGTCAAAGTAGACAACAAAGTGGATTTACCAACAGAGGGAAAACCAATTAACGCGACTCGGGCGTCACCACTTTTCAACACATCAAAACCATCGCCCTTTTCACCTTTCTTCGATGGTTCCAACAACTGCGAGCGATATTTGGCAAGCTTCGCTTTCAAAAGACCCAAATGATATTCGGTTGCTAGAATAATTCTTTTAAAATTAGCACCCTAAACATTTTTGTTACGTTTTTTTTTTTTTACTTTAGATTGAGAATTAACCTACAAGCAATGTCTGCGTAAAAAAAACTTGCCAGCGGAGCATGGACTTGTGTAGTGCGGCCACACCACTTTTCTTGTAACCAACTTACCTTTGTTCTTTTGAGTACGAGCAATTTCCTTTTCTATTTCTGAGATCTTATCCAAGATACCCATCTCTGCCGACTATTTTATGTACAATATTAGTAAATATTAGCAGAACATTTAATAATTTTTCTGTGGAATTTGGCTTTTACTATCCGCCTGGTTTATAAATTGCTTGCTACTGCATCAGTCAACGTCGTTGTTGTCGGCTTGAATTTGTGCGCTATGACAGCCGTCAAACGGTGGTGAACGAGCCTAAGCTCATTCACAATAAATATCAAAAGCACTTCAAATTTTAACCAGATCTATACCTGTTAGTCAACTATCGGTTAAGTAATTTGTTAATTTTCAGAGAGTGCTACCAGAGATTTCTGTTTAAATTTCTATGAGTTTCTTAAGGACGAATTAATAAAACAAACCGAGCTCTGGTGTACGTGTGATCGTCATTCCTTTCTAACGCACAGGGCTTATGAGTTGCACCGGGTTTTTGTATTAGTTTTCCAGCAAATTTTTTTAATGTATTGGGATATACGTTGGTTGCGGGGAATGTATGCTAATAAAAAAAAATTAAGTACATTCCAACTAAATAAATGGATAATTCTATTAACCAAAATTCATCCACTTTAACTAAACCCTGTGTTTTTATAAATAAAACGTATTAAAACTACTGTTGTGCAATTGGAAAATTAAATTAAATAATATTTAATTTGTGCCTCCTTTATTGTGTTTTTTACATAAAATGACGTTCTTTTTCAAATCCCCACCTAATTTGATTCCTTATTTAAGCCTACATCTAGTGGGCATAATAGCCGTGCCCATCGTTACCCATGTATTCTGTCCAACGCTGCGTCTGTATATCATCCAGCTCAGAGCACACCTGACCCTTTAGTAGCGTATGACACGTACAAGTAATGCTAATTCGTGTCACGATTAATTGCGATTCATATTTTGGCACATGCGGTGTAACGTTCACTAGGCGATCGCTTAGACATTGCTTAAGGAATTGCTTTCGCAGTATACGTAGATTGTCTAATGTGTAACCTTGATTATTAAGAGGGAACAATATATTAGCTATTTGATCAAAACACAATAGTTCAGTTCCGTACTTTTATAAGCACTTATCTTTTCTTCGACGCAATTGAGATCCTGGGGCATAAAAAGGGGGGGATACGTCTCTGACTCACGTATATTTAATACGAAAGCAAAATCCACAGAAGAACGTGTCCCGTTTAGCGTCTTCAACAACACCCCCGCAGATGAGATTGAGGATAGAAACCATTCATCGGACTCATCGTTAGATGATGGACTAGCAGAAGTCGCGTCCGTATCGTCCGTCATAGCCGTTTGTGCAATGTCATCACGTCTTAGACGACTACGTTTACTTTTTTTGTTCGTATCATACCGGTTTGTCGAATAATCGTATTTGTGTGACTCTTTAATCGCGTCACGCTCCTCTTTTTCCATTTCCAGATCCCATAAGCTAAGTGGCTCCCGCTTGTCTAAGTTATTTTGTGGCTCATCCCCGCTGGGTACGGTTTGCGTAGTATTCTTCTCATCTTCAAAGGTTGTAATGTCACTACGCACATCGCGATTGCCGGGATATTTCGTGCGCAAGCGTATAGGATGTGCATTCTGCGGTACTAGTTGTGGCACTTCATTGTCAGCGTAGAGCGTGTCGTATTCTTCGGGCAAACGCGCGTCCACCACGGACTCGTAGTCCTTGTGCTAAAATAAATAAAGTTTGTCTCGGTTGAAGATAAAGGAAGGAATAAAAATAGCCTACCACCTCACGCAATTGTTCGTTGCCATTGGCGGCATAACCTCCGCCATAGTAATTAGTATAGCTATTTTGTTTGGAGGGCTCATAAACATTTTCGGCAGGTATTTCATTATTTGGTAGTATATCCTGCAGTATCTCCTGATTGAATATCGGATTTCTCAGTGCATTTGCCTTATAAGGTGGCTGACTTTGATGCTTTGTTGCCTTCTCTAGCTTTTCTAAATCAGCGCTGATGGCGATTTTCTTTAGCAGCTCCTCTCGATTTGCTAACAGTTTTTTGAACAATTTAGGATGCTTTAAAGGGGACTTCGAGTTCTGTTTGGCATATTGTGGACGTTGTGTGCGGTTGAGGTGCACCTCAATGTCATCTTAACCGGCAATTAAAAGACCAAACATTCAAATAATATATTTTTATGAAACCCTGACAATACATGTAGATATGTATGTATGTAACTAGTTATTAACCTGTGCTAAAAATCACTGCTCCTGGTGGTTCGATGTGTCGTGCAATTGCATAAAGTTTCAGCACAGTCGAAGTATTGTATCGCAAACGACAAGTGTCTGCGCGTGATTGTAAAATAATATCACTGTCTGAAATACGATTGTAAAATGTAAATAAAAAACAAGTCTTCACCGGACTGTTTATATAGGTCTTACCTGGTATAAATTCATAAGCATCTTTCGCGTTATTCTTATCCCTGCATTGCATTTGCCAATGCAAAAAGAAGTCGCCACCAAAATTCTGCGATACCGAGACACCACCCAATAAGCTATTTGAACCACCGGAATCAGTCATCATCGCACCTAATAAGGGTTTGCCCGTTTCACCATCCAGAATGGTGGTTTGCGAATAATAATATACTGGAAAACCCGGTCCAGTATTATATTTCACCATAAAATCGGTCACATTGTCATTATTGAAATGTCCTGGCACAATTGCGCTAACGCTTTCACTTGCCGGAAAAGTGTAATTCCACAACATACTGAAATTACGCCCATCGAAGGCATATACCGACGAATTAAAAGATGCTGCCACAATATCCGGAATGTGATCTCCCGTTATATCGGTAACCACTGCTGGCACCATCACGCCAGAATGCTTATTTTGAAACAGAGGTGTAAATTCCTTTTCACTCGTAAATTGCATAAGGGAAAGTAAGCGTATTGTATAGATACCACCGGGTGTATTTTGACCACCGGTGATGATCATTAGCAGTTCAGTGCCATCCTCTTTAGTGAGCATCTGCACAGGGACAAATACTTCCTCTTTGAACGGCGTTGGTATGGTTCGTATGACTTTACCCTTTTTGCCAGAAATCACTTTAATATGACCCGCTTTGGACTCTTCGCGCTCTTCGAGATGTGCTGCCAGTATATCCGAGATTTCGTCACCATCTAAATCACGTATGACATTTATTGTGTAAAGATCCATTACGATAGGCGAGTTGGTCTCCACTTCGACCTCACGAAACTCCCAAATGCTAGAGCCACTACGACCATTGATGGCAAATATCATCTGTGGGAGAAATATTTCAAATTAAGAACGAATAGGCTGCGGTTGTTCTACAAGTACAACAATCTATTCTAAAAAACTTTGCCGGTGTCAGTACCAATGATATATACGGCCTTGCCATGTTATAAAATCAGGGTATTTTTGTAGGTATTAGATTAAATTGCAGTGCCTTAAGCTCCGCTTCATTACGAAACAACACTTACACCCAACCTGCCTGCGGCTACACAATCTGGATAGCCATCAAGGTCAATATCCAATGTACACAATAGAGAGAAAACATTCGCCACACTCCATGTCTGCCAGAGTAAACTGCCGGTAGCGCCATCTATAGCAATCACTCCACCTTCACAAGGCACCTCTTCGTCACCTTGAGCGGACTTGCACTTCGGCAACGTAAAACCCTCGTACTGGATGTTGTCATCTGAAACAGCAAGAGATGAACACAAGTATGGAAGGTTATCAATTAAGCTACGCACCAACCCCGAATCCGAAAATGATATCAGCAATGTCATCTCCATTTAAGTCGGCCTTACGTACTGGACTCTCGCTGTTCATGCGAGGAAAAGTTCGCAACCACAATCGTTGCACGCTAATTTGTGTACAGGCCACAAATTCAGTGCGCATACTACTACCATATGCCTGCGATTGGCCACCACCCGCATAAGCTTTACCCGGCGGAGCTGCGGGCTCGCGTTTCAGCCACACTTTAATACGCTGCAATGGTATGGGAAACATAGTCAGAATGAGCGCTGCGAGGCTTATCAAGGCAATAAGGACAGTTAGGGCGGCAAGACCGTAGCAAAAAGGCTCACAGCAACGCCAACAACGACGATGCTTCATCATAATTGGCACCGAATTGTGCATTTTTCCATTTTTACGACGTGGTGCCATTAAGGGGCGCTTCAAGCCCTTTTCTTCACTCAACTGTAAAGAGTAGTGGAGAAAAAGAGATAATACTTTTCAGCAAGTGTATGTGTGTGAGTATTTTAAAGTGTGTATGTGTATACCTTGGCGGTGCGTGCATCTTTAATGAAGACGTCATCATCCACATCATCACTGATCTCCTCGTCGATGGAGTCACGTATGGCGATACGATTTGATGGCACATATGGTCGCATTTTAATCATATTGAAGAATCTATAAATTAGTCACTTGATTGGTAAACAGCTCAGCCCTGATTAGAATAAGTAATGTACCAATGTTTATTTTGTTTGTAGGGTAGATAACAACACTAAAATATGTAAAAGGAAAGTTTAACTGCTTCTATCTAAATTCCCTTGCTGCTACACGCCCTTAGGTATGCAATTTATTCGTTATCGTTTTAAATTATTTATCAACTTGTACACTTTTATATATTATATGAATTAGTGTTTTGCACGGAAAATTCTTATTTACGCATTACCACATATTTAAGCCGTTATATTATATTATGCCAGTTTTTACTGTTACACTACAAGCTCTCAACAATTTTGTATTCAACTATAATGAAGATTTGTAAAAATCGATATATCCTATACAAAAATACGCACACACACATATACATGTGAATACAAAAGGTGACACTGTCACTTTTGACAGCTAGTGAACACAAGATTTAAGGGAATCTGACGCCTGCGCCCCACACACATGCGTCTATATCAAAACAACCCAACAAATACATTGAAGTGAGCAAGTTGGTGCAACAATTTGTCGTCGTTGGCAGCACGTGTTGCACTTTTGTTTGTCAACAAACGCACGTGGGTGGCATCAACACCCCATAACCGAACCATAACCAAAGGTATGCCTAACTTACTATTGGCCATAATTTTCCACAGCCTGTTGCTCTCAAATGCCTTTTACTTACATTCACACATTCATGCACTCACACACATACCCCATACATAGAGAACAGCAAATCCCCACAAAAACACGCTCTATATTTACACAATAAACTCTACTTCATATGGGAATACTCCGTGATACCCAGTCACTCTCGCTTTCCACACTTAACGTCCAATACGGATTTCGAAATTTTCATTCATGCCACGGCATACATACTTTCGTTTTTGCACAGGTTACACAGGCAGTTAACAACTTTATAGCGTCTTGCATGTACACTTATATACATATACATATGGTACACATATACATATGTGTGTGGGCATTATTTTGTATGTGAGTGGGCATCGGTTGCGGAAGTTCAATGTCCTCATTCGGTTATGAATCAATGGACGATTTGTTGTCATCGTTGCAGTTACATATACATATGTACTACATGTATGTTACTATAGTAAGGTGCTTTTTCGTTAATTTCAAGTACCCTTTCGAGCATACACACATAGCGTAACTAAAAGGGAATCCTGCAAGAGCTCGTGTAATTGTATTGAAGTCTTCTTAGATATTCATTTATAACTTCCGCAATGTAAATCTAGGTTATGTTTTGTTTTTAATCAAAAGCGCATTCATACCAGTAACAGTAAGGTATGTACTAGAGCAGTGAAGAACAATGTGGAATATGTATGCGAGCATAATTCTTAATGATACCTGCTCGTCTATATGTACCATACATTCATATATAATTGAGTTAAAATTCTAATTCGAAGTTACTACAATAAGCAGTACCCTAATTATATCCTGAACAGGGTATATTAAGTTCTCCACGAAGTTTATAACACCTAGAAGAAAACGTCGGAGACTATAAAATATATATATAAATGATCAGCATGATGAGCTAAGTTGGTTTAGCCATATTATGGAAAGCATTTTCATTTTACGAGATATCTTTACGAAATTTGCCATGAGTTATTTCCTAAGGCAACAATATAGTATCCGAAGATATTGTTCAGATGAGATCACTATAGCATATAACTGCCTGCAAACTAACCGATAGGAATCAAGTTCTTGTAAGGAAACTTATGTATTTGTGATGGGTAAGATAGCTTCGATGCAACCACAGTTAACGTTTCTTCGTTTTTTTAAATTTTTTCTTAAATACCACACCCCCCCACACAGGGCAATACAACACACCACAACACCAAACGACAGCTCCCGCGCGCAACTATTTCGACTCGACACCACTCCGCACGCATCTTATACATTCGTTTTTGTCTACGGGCCTGAGCGCCAGATCAACTTTTCGACAACAACGATCCTGCACGCTACTCGTGCCGATTATAACTCGTCGATGAACATCAGCCTAAAATTACACTTTAAAGAAATGTATTAGCAATAAAAACTGGCTTTTATACCTATGTAATAGAATATTGTACATGAGAAAAATATGTGGTGGGTGCTCCCATACAAATTGTGTATCGCTTTAAACACATATGTATTTATTATAAGCGCAATTATCTCTGCTAGATACTTGGGGGAGCTTCTTCTTTCATTGATTTTATGCATTCTGTTATTTGAGCCACCTGTAAGTTCCAACGGCAAAAACTTTTTAATGTTCGTCGACATTGGGATCGAACACAGGGCTTGTGTAGCATCTCTAACCACTGCACCGCAATATTAAAAATGGCATCAGCAAAAGAATGTAACCAAACAGCATTCAATCGTAATTTGAAAAAAAAAAACATTTTGCCACCATGCGTTCGTAATTAATATGGTATTATTGACAAATAGTATTGAAATTACATAAATCTTACAAACATAGTTTTCATAATACCCACATAAATCATAAAAACTTGGTGCTTGGTCCAAAAAGGAATTTTTATGAAAATTTTTAATAATTTTTTCAATAAAAAAACATTTCGTTGGGCTTCTAAAAGGTGATTGAGCATTGAGCAAATGAGAGCGATAACAATATATTGGACAATAAAGTTGTAATGTTTACTTTCTTATTTCCTCTCCTTAGCAATGGTAAACGCTTCCAATAATCCTCTCCGGAACAGTAGTCAAGTCTGAACAAACAGGCAGGTATAAAGGCAAGGTTTCACGAAGAAACCAGAGTCCAGCCATTCGCTACGGGAACTGATGGATTGGAGAGAATGTATCCAAGATGCTCGGGATTAAAAATTGAAAAAAATTTGTTTGATTTGAATGAACTCGAAAAAATATTAATCAAATTATATTTTTAATTCTTAATTATATGCTTAAGATTAAAACTTTTTTTTTTCAATCCGGTAGTTGTGATTAAATTTTTTTTTAATCCGGTAAGCGAGATTAATAATATTTTATTAATTTTTAATCCCGTATTTGCGATTACAAAATAAATTTTTTTTTTTCAAAAGGTAATTCAATTCTTTTTTTAATGCATTATGAAATTTTAAAGTAGGCTGTTTTCTTCAGATGAATCCAAAAATCAGCCGGCCACTATATGTGTTCTAGTAGATCTGAAACTGTTTTGCGCTTGCCCTTGCACTATTTTTCGGCGACTGGCCGACTGTCTTGTAAGTTACTAACAATGTTTCTTTGTATTTGCCATAAATTACCATTGCCCAACGATTTGTATATTTACTTGCGGCGCATAGCTTAAGGAATTGGCGTATTTTCGGGTCATTAATCGCCGGTATTTTACGTTACGTCCCTGACGTTTCTACATAACTGGATATTTTCTATAATTATGTGAGCATAATTAGCTTAAGAATTCTTGCTCTCCTTATCCCATTGTTAAAATCTAAACTTATATTAACTAACAGCCACTCGGTCAACAAGTATAGTCTTTTTCTAATTATACTTATAACACCCATATATCTAGAGAACGCATCAACGCAACACCGCCATTATATATTTTAGGTGACGAACACTTGCCAATTCCACTTACCACGTATAACGATATAATTTTATCTTTCGCTTTCTGAATTATCAAATTATCTGCATTGTATGGCGGTATAATCTCACACATGAAATATCAAGGCAAGGAGGCCAACAGCTTGTTGAAAAGCTCAGCCAACATCTAATGCCCCCTCAGTAAGTATTCTAAGATACATTTTTCTGTCTGGTGTTAGAGGGTCATACGGTGTTATAGGGAGCTGTATAATTTTACCGTTGTACTATTGTTAGTAATTATTAAAGCATTGAAAAGTGTAAAAGTGGAAGCAACTCGAAAATGCAACAACGCGCTCATCACTCTCACTACTCAACAGGCACCGCTATTCAAAGTCATTTAAGCGAGAACTAAAGTATGTAAATTAAATAGGAAATATACAAACATATTTTTTATACTAAATTAAATGAAATGAAAATGAAAACCAGCAAAGATGAAGGCAATGTGAAAAAAAGTAGTGCAGGAAATTATCAAATAGCCACATTTTACTTACGAGCTGGAAGAAAACTAGTCGCTTTCACTGGAGGAAGGGCGCGTCGCCAGTAACTTGAGTGCTTTCGGCTATACAAAAATATCTTCAAAACGTTTCTTTTCACAACGCCTGATTATGGTAACATTTTTCTTTTTTTATATTATCACTTATTTTTATTCCAATCTTTTTTACTGCGCTGATTTTATAAGATGAGGTTAAGTGCGGTACTTGTTGTCTTAAAGTTGCCACAAAAGGGTTTGACGTAAATGCGCTATGTGGCATGCAGTCAGGTTGTGAGCCCATCCGCTATTGCCCGACACATACATATAGAAAGCTACTGGTGAGGCAATACTGAAAACCATAATGGTGATGATGTATACTTGTTGTTACTGCCATACCCATGCATGTATGTCTGCACGCCCTGCTGTCTTTGAAATGATGCTTGCTAAGTGTCCTCCGTCTGCGACGTTCGCCTGCAAGTAGGCTATTTTTTCTTATATTTCACTTAATACATATGTGTTGTATGTATACAAATATTTTATTCATGTAAGGCTTTTTAGCAAGGTAAGTGCAAAAAGATTTGTTTAAGCAAATTTATTGAGAAAAAATAGACTTATTTGAATGCGTAATGCGACTTGTCCTTGAAATTTTAAGTAAGTACTAAACATCTACATATGCAATGGAAAGTACCTAAAAATACCTAAAATTATTTGTTAAAACTATAAAAATACATTAGTATCTATGTATGTATATATGTACGTGGCATTGACAAGGTCATTGTATGTTCACCATCGACATGGTCAAATCTGAAGCAAGGTATTGTCAGTTGACTTCTTTAAAATTACTATTAAAAATAGAGACAAGAAATAATAACTTCACTTGAACTAAAATATGGCATATACTAGAAACGAGCATGTCCTGACTCTATTATTTACTATTCCCGAAAATAAATTTAATTCGAAGTTATTTCTTTGTGAAAAGTAAAATGATTATTACATATATTAAGTTTGTAGATAGAGCGTTCTTAATTTTTTCAACGTCGTCATCCATTTTCAAAATTATATATTGTACATACTTCAAATAGTAACTTATGACTTTGAAACACTCTTTTTGTTTAATAATTGGTTATTTTCAGTGTCTGCGAGAAACAAGTTACCCTCGTAAAAGCTATGCACTTTTACACATATTATATTTTGTCACGTTTGTGAAATCTCAAACACAAGAGGGATGTCGTCAATTTATTTTATTAGCTTGAGACAAAAGTTGTGCAGCACTTGATTGTAAGTCCTCAGAGATGTCTTGTCCGATTTCGGTTCTAATGAGACAATTTGTTGGAAATCACAGTAGATATTAAACCCCTTTATATTTTGGAATACTCGGGAAGGTCAGCTACGTTGGTATATAATATATGTAATATCTATTAACATAGTCTAACAAGTAACGGTACCATGAACTTTAGAAGCAATTGTGAAGAAGTGGGTTCTATGGGAGCTACTACAAGTATATGTTACTAATTTCCAAGTATCCATCCAAAACGGGATATTTTGATCGTCACATAGAATAAGAAAGCTAATATAATTGAATAACAAGCATATAACTTAAAAATTGGATAATGAGCATGATTTCGCCCAACTCTTGACGAATTTGCATATATCAGAAACTATATGCCAAATCCAACAAACTTAACTTGATTTGAAAATAGACAAAATCGGAGAAGAACCACGTCTGAGCCAAAAGAATATGTTTAAGTCTCGAGAATAGAGTACGCCAATATAAATAAATGCCGAAAATCATACGTTTTTTATTTTTGTGTTTTCTTGTATACATACGATTCTTTTCCAATGGAAAAGCTCATTTAAGTACACTTTTAATAAAAGTATTCTAAATGGTCGTAGAATGTATTGAATTATTTTTCGAGAATTATATGTACATACTATATGTAAATAAATCTGCTTTTAATTAAAAAATAAAATAAAAATTGAATTTGAAATTGATATCTTATCATTGCATATATTTGGTATGAGTAAGTCTTTCTTCGATGCTTATATGTATATCGATTAGATTACTTGTATTCCTAGGCTTACGATATACAATTCTCTTCAGAATTTCGATTATGGTTTCGGTCAAATTGCAGAGTTTCTTCAAGGTCATAGTTATATGAACAATCAATTTTTAAATTTATGTTCAACTTAAATTGCATTTTGCTTTTTTAAAATTTTTAAAACGCTGTGCGTACATATTTATACCCTTGTATTATCCGATTGACACCAATCTAAGTGCACATGCACCGAAGAAACCCCCAAAGATATACTAAAGTCCCATAATGCAAACTATTTGTACACAAACTTACATGCACATGCATATATTATGTGTACAAATAAATATATATATATTTTGTTTGGTTGTATGAGTGCCTGCATGCGCTCTTAGCTACTTTAACGTGCACAGCTGTTTTTTATTTGTTATTTTTAAATCAACAGCAGTGATGACTTTGCGCCGAATTCACGCGCATATACAGCTAAGCGTATGATTGTATGTGTGCGGGTGTATGTTGGCATAAAATAAAACGATTAAGCTTTGCTTGAAGCAGCACTTTAGGAGCCAATCGATAATTTATGTCGAAGTGAATAATTTTTAACATTGAACGCGACAAACAAGTACAAAAACAACAAACGCATTGGTGGTGAAACTACAGCAAAACCATCGCTCAGCATTGCAGCAGCAGCCTGCTTAAGTGCCACTACAAGGAATAATGACGACAGGATTAGGCAATGTCAAAGTACTTGTGGAATTTATGTTAAGTGGCTGCCTATGCAGCAACAAATCATATGCTAGCACCAGGCACATGGTAGATAAGCAATTGTGAAACCACAGAACACACACATTTTTCATATGTGCCAATTAGCAAGCAGTAATTATTGGAGAGAGATATTATTAGTTTCCTGAGGCGATTTGTTCTAACGGTTTATTATCCGTAATATTTGAGTATGTATGTTCAATTATATATTCATAAGCATACATATATGTGTCAAGATTGAATATCGAAATCATTAATATGATTACGCCATTGCGCCGAATCCTTTCTCGTCAATGCATACGAACGTTGTGCATCAGCACTGAACGGTTAACTTTCCCTTTCAGCAGCTTTCAAATAACAACAGCATCAACAGAGATGCACGCATAGACACACATACAAACATATCCCGTCTATGTGAACGGAAGGAAAGCGCAAGGAAATTTCAGAGATTAAAAGAATTTTCCATCTCAGCAACGTTGAATGGCGACAACAACAACAGCGGCACTGTCTCATCTGCATCCGTCAAGTGCCCACCACCGACGCGCACGCAGATGCCAATGAGTGTCAGCACTCCAGTACCCTGCTACGTAAGTGTATTAGCTACTTACTGCTTAACGGCGAGCGTTACAATGCTTGAGCTCTGATGCATGGGCTGCGGGTACTTTTGTCTCAGCTTCTGAATCTACTGGGTTTAAATTCAAATCTCAACGTTGTAACCGCCAGTCAGCGGCGGATGTTCAGCGCAATTAGACGTGCAAATCTAAAAGTGAAAGCAACTTCAAAGAGGTTAAGACAAGCGGAGACAATTATTATAAAAATTACTTTAAATTCCTAAATTAATAATTCCATAAAATGAGTTTTCATAGAAATTTAATAATTTCGAATATGTTTTCAAATATGTGCTTAAAACCAAAACGTGCTTTATGTAAAACCAAATAAAGTACGCCTACGGTATTACATAAGTTTGCCTGTGAAAAAATTGAAGTGTTTTCCAAAAGCAACTGTTGTGAATGCGAGTTTAAAAATTAGCAAACAGAACTTTCGAATATAAAACTCTTTTAATATTATATAAAATATACGCTTCGAATACTCGGTAAGTTGAATGCATAAATAAATTAAATTATAAAAAATAACGAGAAAAACAGAATAAAACTTCGGCTACACTGAATACCCGTCATCGGTACACTATTTATAGCATAAAAGGGTATAAAAAGTCCCATGTCTTGATTTTGATCGGTCAGTTTGTATGGCAGCTATATACTATAGTGGTCCGACCTGAACAATATGTTCGAAAATTGTTGCATTATCTTGGCCAATAATCTTTACCGAATTTCGTGAGGATATTTCGCCAAATACAAAAGTTTCCACCTCAAGGACGCAGTTTGCATAACAACTATATTCTATAGTAATCCGACAATTCGTTCGGATATTATAGCGCCACTTTGAAAACTAATATATGCTAAATTTCGTGAAGATACTTTGTTTATTAATAAAAGTTTTTCATATAAGGGCTTTGGTTTGGTTGATCAGTTTGTATAGCACAGGTTCCGACAAATGAGCTGCTTGTGTAGGAGAAAAGGACGTGTGTAAAATTTCTGATCGGTATTTCATAAACTGAGGGACTAGTAGGTAGGGACGAGTGTATACGATTACAGACAGCCGGATATGGCTAAATCGATTTAGCTCACGCTGATCATTTATATATGGTACAAACTTCATAGGATGCTACAAAATTCGTGGAAAACTTAATATACCCTGTTGAGGGTTGAATTTAAAACTTTTTTTATTAAATTCACTGGAATTTTAAAAATGGGAATATTTTTAATTGGCTAAACTAAAAGCGTAATAAATAAATATAAAAATATTTCTGAAAATTTGTTAACTTATTTTCATATTTCATACTTGAATATAAAATTTATAAAATATAATATGTTGATTTTTTAATTTTATTAATTTTATATTCAAGTATGAAACAAATGAGTAATTTTCAAAGTTGTTAGTAGATAACGTTTGAAATAATGAAAGAGGTTGATCGTTCTTAATTTTAACAATAATATTTATAGTTTTTAATTATAAACATTTTCAAATTCAATTAATTAAGCTCTATTTGTATTGTACGTTCTGACAGTTGGAAAACGTGGCAAGAGGACCATTTCTCCATTCAATTTTCCAGTCAAAATAGTTGCTACAATAATATTTCTTGTAATCTTTTTGATTTTCGAAGTTGTACCGTTGCATAATTGAGGTGAATTGAAATAGCTCTGAATAATTTTCATCTAAAGATTATGTGATGCCATTCCGAGTATATCTAGATAATTTACGTTTTCATTCACATTAAAAACAGTAGCGAATTATTTAAAATAGACGATTCTATGCTATCTTCTCATCAATTTAAAGCCAAATCGGTTAAGCCGTTCTTAAGTTATAAATATTGTAGCTAACACTGCATTTCGCGCTTCGCGTTGCGCATCAGTTTGATTTGCTGTTATTAATCTTTGACTTCCAGTATTTCGAATTCTGCGGCCTAAGTTTGTACGTCTGCTTAGTAGCATTTTTAAAAACGAAAATCCAACTGAAAATAAAAAATTACTCCTTTATATTTTCTGTTTAACCATGTATACCAAATTTTAATATTGTGTAGTCATCAAAAGTTACCAAAAATCGATATTAAGCTGTGAACTTACCGTGATTAACAAACACTTATTAGCAAACAACAAACTTCTTAGTCTTTAAAACAAAACAAACTTTATCAAAAGCTTAATAACATTATTGTTAGCGCTATGTTAGGTTATGTGTGTCAGATTACCACAGATTACTAAATAAGTTATGCGAAGTTCGTATACTGCGTTCTGAAATCTAACTCATAGTATACATATTTTATTATTATTAAATACTTACATTAAAATGAAATCAACACTGGTATTATTAATATTACCGTCAAAGCCGGTACATTTAATTGTGGCGAGTAATTTTCAAAAATTAGTAAATTAGTGCGATATAATTTAATTAAGTAACCACATTTCCGAACAAACGTTGCTCTTTCAATATAGTCTATGGCTGCGAATGACAATGACATTCGTTACGCGCGTTTTTTAAAATATGCAAAATTAGATGTATTTTTTCAATCTTTCTGAGACATTTTCTTAATATTTATTTCCGTAAGAACCTTCAACAGAGTATTAGAAAACCACAAAAAAAAACATAAATTTTTTCCCAAAACACGACTTTTTTTGAAAGCCGCCGTTTTGTCAATAATTAAAAGTTTGACTAGTACTTCCATCATTCCATATATTTATCTAAAGCAATAGTAAGCTTTTGTCGTTTTTGGATTTGAGATAATTTTAAGCAAAAAATTCCTCTTCACCATCAGACCACTTTTATTAGATATCCTCCTAAAGATCGGTCACGGGTTCAAAGGAATCCAAATATTTTTTAAATGAATCGGCTATTGACAAAGTACGCTAAATTCTCTTATTACACATTATTTTTATTTACTTATAATATAAAATGCCTCGTCAAAAAAAATTCACTAAAAACAAGTTTTCCCTGACTTGCAAGTGGGTATAACCTCTTAAATCATCGATTTTGACTCATTTCACTTTTTCTCGATTTCTCATAAACGATGGAGAAATTGTGGAAATCACTAATAAGAGTGAAAAAGTAACTTAATCCCAGAAAATCTGCAAAAAAAAACTTATATACATATGTATAAGCCATAGTACGTGACATAGGAGTAACTTTATTTAGTGCCAAAAAAATTCTTTTTTGAAGGTATCGAATATCGGTAGAGTATTGTATATTATTTAATCAAATTGTAAACATAAAAAAAAATTTGCTTTATTTTTACTTTGGATATTTTTTTTCTCGAACGCTACAAAAACTTACTAAGAAATGTCTCCATACATGGTTGCCATGCATATTTTCTTTAAGACCAATGTATTTTCTTAAGCTATACATAACGTTGAAATTTTAGCACAATTTTAGCCAATCAATAAAATGTATAAATTAGAATAAAAACTCATCCACTGAATTTATTTTGAATCATTTTTGTTTCAGCATGACGTTTTCCATAATTCGGCAGTTTTCAACCAAAATGCCACTAATTTTGAGAAAATAATGCTATGACCAATACAATGAATGTAAAGATAGCTAAAAAAAGATAGCTTTTTGTACAAAGAAAATATGTTTAATTACCTTGATTTTCATTCACTTTTTTTTACTTACTATTATACATATGTCTAAAAGCTTCGTGTTCTGTTTTTCAGTTAAATTAATGAAAACAAGTAAGGAAGGGCTAAGTTCGGATGTAACCGAACATTTTATACTCTCGCAAAGTCAAATAGTATACTCGTTTGAGATTTCTTTGTGGATTGGCTGATATTTTCGGTAGAAGGTCAACTATAGGCACTGGGGTCCACATATTTAGTACTTAGGGGCTTTAACAGTTTTGGTTCGATTTAGACAATTTTTGGCCACAAGTTGGCATACTTTAATCGCATTATTCACGCAAAGTTTTATCCCGATACAGTCATTGTTGCCTGATTTGCATAGTGGAAAGTGAAATAATCAGATGGAATTTAAAATGGTGTTATATGGAAAGTAGGCGTGGTTGTAGTCCGATTTCGCCCATTTTTGCACTATGACATAGAAACATGAAAAGAACGTTATGCACCGAATTTGGTTGAAATCGGTTAAGCAGATCTCAAGATATGGGTTTTCACCTAAAAGTGGGCTGTGCCACGCCCACTGTCTAATTTTGAACGCGGTTCCTATAAAGTCATCTCATACCATCCCAGAGATAAAATTTAATGACTCTGGCGTGTTTAGTGCTTGATTTATCGCGCTTTTAGTAGTTTTTAACAGTACCGTTGTATGGGGAGTGGGCGGAGTTGCCACCCGATTTCAACTATTTTCACACCGTCAATATAAGTGCTAAAAATATTTGCTTCCAGTGAATTTTGTTATTATAGCATTAGCGGTTTAGGAGATATGCACATTAAACCTATTAGAGGCGGGACCACGCCCACTTTTTTAAAAAAAATTTTAACTGCAGATGCCCCTTCCTAATGTGATCCTGTGTACCAAATAACAGTCTTGTATCTTATTGCGGAGCTTAGTTATGGCAAGTTATTTGTTTTTGATTAATGGCGTTTTGTGGGCGTGGCAGTGGTCCGATTACGCCCATCTGCAATACCAACCGTCTCACGGTACTATGAAACATGTCTACCAAGTTTCATAAAGATATCTCAATTTTTACTCAAGTTAGAGCTTGCACGGACGGACGGACAGACGGACAGACGGACGGACAGACGGACGGACGGACAGACAGTCACCCGGATTTCAACTCGTCTCTTCATCCTGATCATTTATATATATATAACCCTATATCTAACTCGATTAGTTTTAGGTGATACAAACAACCGTTAGGTGAACAAAACTATTATACTCTGTAGCAACAGGTTGCGAGAGTATAAAAATCGTCCACAGTCCACGGCTTAAGACCCTTCAACATATTTGCATCGATTTATATGTATACATAAGGGTGGCTGTTATTACCCAAGTTGATTTCACCCCTGTAGTTTCGGTTTTTGTGCTAAAAACAATATTATCCAACGTAAAGAAGCTCGGTATTTTCAATTTGAACCGTACCTAAATCATGTTTCTTTTTTTTGGGATGTTTTGATATTTTGCATTAAGCCAGAAAACAACTTTGAAAATTTGATGTACAAATACAAAATTTTCCACTCTACAAAAAAGATCATGTTGAGTTTTTTCGTAAAATCATTCCTTTACATCAAATTTAACTACTAGGTATGTATTTTCTACTACGTGCTGTGTTGCTCATACGTCACGGCGTACCTGTTTACTATTTAAATTTGTTTAAATAACACAGTTTTGCCTACGCTCATCCAACGCTCATATTTTCGTCAAAAAATTGTTTTTTCAAAGTGTCCTTGCGGTTTGCTTACGTTTTTAAATGTCGATTTTCTCCCTACTTTTTTCTCAAATACCTAATCGGCACTGCTGGCATCGTTGACGCTAGACAACGACCCCAACACATATTCAAGCCGACCTTCGAGACAACGTTGATGCGAACATCGCAGCATTTCATGCCATGACAATGCGCTATAAAAGCGCACACAGTTACTTGGGGCGGCCACTTCAGTCAAGTGGTTTTAATTGTGAATTAAGTCGCTATTGTGACCGCCACATAGCTGCAAGAAGGTCTAGTACAAAGCACAAACCTTGCAAAGTCTTCCAGCCGTTGGCGGTGAGGAAATATGCGCCATTGACATCTAATATAAATTGTTGTTGTTTTTTATCTTTAGGAATTTGAATTCATTTGAATATTTTCCTCATTATTTAATACTAATGTATGTTTGTATTGGCATACTCGTATGTGATTGAAAATCTTCGCAAGCCTTCATGCTATTTCTGGATCCGTGCGAACGATCCATACAACTACGCAGCCGTCAAGGTAATTCCTTATTGTTAAGGAATATTTTGTTATTACCGTTTTCAATTCGATTGTCATTGTCAGTGACAGTGGTTGAAAGGATTTTGAAATTATTGCCGCCGCTTTATACATTACTTCAAGGGTACATCGCACATTAAGGTTACCGATTTCACCTTTTTCCTTTGCTATTTGTTAAGTCCTACCTTACCTTGACAGTGTAAAACTAATACTTACACATAATAGAATATTGATAAAATACTTAGCTTAGAAAATAGGAAACAAAATTTTCACAGCATAAACATTTTAGCGAGATATTTAATAAACTCTTATATAACTATTATCTCTAAGGACACTGCTGCAAGTCAATAAGTTATAACGAGAAGTAAATGTTGTTTTGGGTGTTTAAAATTTCATTTCAAATCGCACAAAAAGCCGCAGAATTCAAACCAAACGGAGCTGACAGTAATAGTAATTAAGGCTAGAAAACCACATTCCAACTATTTTCCAGACATCTTTTTTTCTAAAGCCTTATTTTTAAATTCAGTCGTTTTTATTGTTGTTGTTACAACAGTATACCGTAAAGATTTTGGAACTATATTTTTCAAATTCTGCCTACGCCTACAGTCATTAGACGGTCAATCTATACGTCAATTCGAGCCGTTTAGGTTACGTAAACGCGTCAATTGGTGCTTGTATTTTGGGGTTGACGTTGCTGACATTCATGCTGATTCTTGTAATCACTCTGTGATACTAAATCTGCACCACACTGATCGGTGTCGACCTCATGCTTTGACTTGCTTTTCACCGTTCTCTCTGCTTATGCTCATATCACTTATTAACGAATAATAACTGTGACATGTTTATTCTTTGTCCATCTATACTCGTACATACCCGAACTAGTCCCACACTTCAATAATAGATATAGGTCTAAGATTTTCAACACGTACTTTTCTTCATAAGAAACTGTTCGTTTGTCGGAATTACCGATAACAGATAACTGTAGTAAATAGCTATCAAACAGACTCAATGCAAATTAAGTTCTTGTAGGGAAAAGTTTTTTATTTGATAAGATATCTTCTCGAATTTTAGTACGGATTATTGTCCAACGCAGTGCTACAATTTCCGAATAAATGGTTTAGACCGGACCACTATGGCATATATAATACATAGCTGCCATACAAACTGATCGATTCAAAGCAATTTCTTGTGTAGAAAACGTTTTTAATTGACAAGATATCTTCTCAAAATTCAGCTGATGATTGTGTAAAACAGCGCTACAATCACTGAATTTATTGTTCAGATCGGATTTTTATAATAGCATATAGCTGCCATACAAATTCACCGATCAAAATAAAGATATAGTTTTATACTTTAAATCCTTAATGTTAAAGAAATTCACCTATGAAAGGTATAATAGCTACGATGCAACCGAAGATAACGTTTTTTCTTGTTTTATAATTTTTTAACAAATCTTTTGCCTCTTTTGCAGTTATGGAATATCAAATATTTCTCTTGGTAATATTTTCAATATGTTTAGAGAAATTCACAACAGGCGAATACCAGTAAGTTATCACTGTTACTAATAATTTTTGATTCTTGAACTAATTCACCACCAAAATTCTACACAACCCTAATGAAAGGCAAAGCTTAGCGATAACAGATATATTGCCCGAGGACATAAAGCGATATGACAAAATGCGTCCACCCAAAAAGGATGGTCAACCAACAATTGTTTATTTTCACGTCACCGTAATGGGTCTCGATTCGATCGACGAGAATTCTATGACTTATGTTGCGGATGTGTTTTTTGCACAAACCTGGAAAGATCACCGCTTACGACTTCCCGAAAACATGACACAAGAGTATAGATTACTAGAGGTCGATTGGTTAAAGAATATGTGGCGGCCAGATTCTTTCTTCAAGAATGCCAAATCAGTTACTTTTCAAACCATGACAATTCCTAATCATTACATGTGGTTGTATAAGGATAAGACCATACTTTATATGGTGAAGCTAACACTGAAATTGTCTTGCATCATGAATTTCGCCATATATCCCCATGATACACAAGAATGCAAACTACAAATGGAAAGTTGTAAGTTCGTGACTGAAAAGAATATTAATTAATTATTATAATATTTATGCTTGGATTTTTCAAAAAGTGTCACATACAACAGACGACATGATTTTTCAGTGGGATCCTACGACGCCCTTAGTAGTTGATGAAAATATTGAATTGCCTCAAGTGGCGCTCATACGAAATGAAACAGCAGGTGGGACTTATACTCGCAAACTTAAAATAAATCTTCTATAATTTACCTATTATTTTACAGATTGCACCCAAGTGTATTCGACGGGCAATTTCACCTGTCTCGAGGTCGTTTTTACGCTCAAACGTCGTCTTGTTTATTATGTTTTCAACACTTATATACCGACTTGTATGATTGTTATAATGTCTTGGGTATCATTTTGGATAAAGCCAGAAGCTGCGCCAGCGCGTGTTACATTAGGTGTCACATCACTGTTGACCTTATCCACTCAACATGCGAAGTCGCAATCATCTCTGCCGCCGGTTTCCTACTTAAAGGCGGTCGATGCATTCATGTCCGTTTGTACAGTATTTGTTTTTATGGCATTAATGGAATATTGCCTGATAAACATTGTGTTGAGTGACACGCCCATACCGAAACCAATGGCTTATCCCCCAAAACCCGTACCGGAGGGTGCGAGAAAGGAACCAGAAAAGCAGCCAGCCACAACTCCCACACCCGCACCTGCGATCACACCCGCCAAAGGGGTGCCGGATGAAAAGATTGAGAAAATTGAGAAAATATTCGACGAAATGACTAAAAATAAGCGGGTGAGTAAAAATAGATTGAAGAAAAGTGTAATTTTTACCATCGTCTCATTATAACATGAGTCATCATATTTATAAAAACCTAAAACTTGAAACTGTGTATTATGCTAAAATGTAAGGAAAGGCCACATTGGTCAAAAGTATTTATGACAGGATAATGATTATCATGAATCTTCCTTCAGCTGTTCAGAGTGACTCAGACTTCGTCTTATCATCAGATACATAACGAATGATATTATAACTCCCGTTATTTTGTGTTCTAAGGCGATTGCTTCTTCCAAAATGTTAAAAGATTTTTAGTTTAAAAACTTTAAAAAACCTTTAATTAGGAAATACTCAAAATTCCTTAATAAAACGACATTGCAGTCATTCATCCAGTTCCAACATCAATATCACTTTGCTTATTAGCCTTTTGACAATTACAATTGAGATCCAAGTTGATAACTTTAAATTTGCCATATATCTATAGCTTTAGCTGACTGTTTCAAAATTATATAACCTTTTTAAATTTCAAAGCCCTAGCAACGCAATTGTGTTAATCACTCGCTTTTCAGGTTGTGCACACACGTCGTGTTGTTCGGCCGCCACTCGACGCCGATGGCCCTTGGATACCGCGTCAAGAATCGCGCATAATACTAACCCCAACCATAGCGCCACCGCCGCCGCCGCCACCGCCAGAGCCCGAGCCGCCTAAACCAAAGCTTACGCCACAGCAAGAGCGTCTGAAGAGAGCCATTTATATTGATCGCACATCGAGGGTGCTCTTCCCGGCGCTCTTTGCCGGCCTCAATGCCATTTATTGGATCATATTTTATGAATATCTATAAGCACACACCAACATACATACATACTCTATGTACATCTGCTGTAGCTCATATACATAAATACATATAAATGCATTCTCTTCAGCAATTTAGAGGTGAATGATGAGTATGATTTGTGGTTTTTACTCAACTCCATTAGGTTAAATAAGAAACAAGCATTAATATTTACATAAATATATGTACGAGTAACTATAAACGAAGAAATAGAAAATATGTAGATAAATATAGATAAAGTTGTAGTGTTAATGAACGAAAGTAGAAAATTTTATTCAAATAAATTTGCCAAAGCAAGTTAATCAAATCTAGTATGTGTATACATATAGGAAATAAAGTATGCACATACATATGTTAACTAGCGGTAATATGTATAAATACTACTACTAATAAGCTCGAAATAAGTTAATGAGCAGAAAGCTCTATGTGAAATTCTTATGTTATTAAATTATAAAGCCTTAAATCTTCAAATTGTATAATTTATGAAACTTTTTATTTCTTACAAACACTTTACATTAATTTGTATACCGTTAAAGATCATAATCGTGTATATTTATGTCAAGATCTAACTTATTACATATATGCCAACATATTATACATATGGATTCATTAATCATTTATTTCTAATGTAATAATTTATTTAGAATGCATTTTATAAGCTAATAGAAGTTGTTATTGTAAAAAGTGTAATAAATTGTAACGAATTTTAAAATTATATATTAATTGTGATAATACAAAATGAATATGTGTACATTTCTGACTTAGCACCAAATAAAAACCCAAACAGCCTAGAAAGCTAGGCGATAGAAGTAAAACTTCAAGGATCTCGATGGGCACTAGAAATTAAAATACTCACCGTAGCCAGCAAGTTTTATGAGATAGAAATATTTCCCCGATAACAGAAGCCACTGGTTGAGCTTCTTCCAAAGCAAAATTGACATTAATATCAACACTTAAAACCATTGGTATGGTGTGCAAATCTTCTCCTAATTCTGCTGCACTAGAGGGAGTATATGCCAATAATGCTCTATGTATGAATTTCATTTTATCGTTAATTCTCTGGCTCGATGTGATGTAGAGAACAATCTATATGTGGAGTGACAATATTTATTCTGTCAGTGGAGTTATGGTAGACAGCTACCCTTACATTGACACGTTTGAAATGGACGACACAATTGAAGTTCGGCACATCCACAGCTTCTTCATTGTTTATCCATGCTTCCGACAATAATTAAATATTCGCTCGTTGGGCTACTGTGTCCGTCAAGTCTACTGCGTGAGCCCGTAAACTTTGGCAACTTAGAGAGAATAATAAGAAAATTAACATTAACATTAGCATAACGTTAACATTAGCATAACGTTAACAATAACAGCAGAGAACGTAAATGAACGAATTTTGCCCACAAGCTGCCTCCTCACGACGATACTAAAAATCAGAAATTGAAGAATTTGTCTGATGTTCCCTTCAGAAAGGAGAATTTTCAACATGAACTATTAGCGAGTTAAAATAATATTTTAATTTTTAATAAATACAAAATAATTCATACCTATAATCGTTTTTAAAATAAATCTGATTAATAAAAATATATCTGAAATAATTATGTGGCAGTGCGCCCCTGACCCCTTCTTGCTTGCGATCGTTCAACTTGCTTCTCGCAAAAAGCAAAAAGTGTAGACAAAAGTCTTTGTTTGTGCGGGGCAAGAAGAAGCAAGCATCAGCGTACGTGTATTTAAGAATGTATGTGTGATTATCACATTTGTGTAAATACGCATAATAAGGGGATATACAATAAAGCACATACATAAGTTGGAAAATGTTTATTTTATTACGAATTCTGGGGTTTTTACCGATAATACAGATTTTTAATTCAGAAGGCTTATCATAATTATAAATTTGTCATATCATAGAAATTGAAAACATAAATCTAAATAGGTATGCGCAACGATTTTTCATTTAGGAATATTCGTTGTGTCTATTTATAGCATTTCGCACATTGCGTGGTGTATTTTTCTTTTTCGAAGTTATATTTTTCGATGTTCCCTCATCTGGAATTACAAATTAGAACTCAAAAAGATTTCATTTAACATTTGCTCCTTCTCTAATCATTTACGTTCTCTGGTAATATTAACCATACCATTAACATTACTCCGAATCTGTCGCGGTTTCGTTTCTCTCCCATGTCTCTTTCCGTCCGACTGCCCCACTTCAAAAACAATCGCTTGAAGACAATTTCAGTGTTTAATGCGTTTATTACGGCATATTTAAATTTTAATAATTAAGGTTTATCTATATTTTAATATATAGTCGTTTTAAATTATTCAAAAAAATTCTTTAAATAATCCTTTCTTAAACAGCTATGCCGTGTTTCAAGGAACCGTTTGTTTTACATTAAATTTAACCCGGAGTGACAAAAACAAACACATTTGCAAGTATTTCAATACAAATCTTTATTGTAGCCGTTAAAATATGATTGAGCCAATACAAGCTTATTCCTATTATGAATATAGGGTCCACAGCTATGTCGTCAAGCAAGCTTCTACTCGAAGTCGTTTTTGCAAAAGATTGAGGTCTTTTGGTACGAGTCTAGCATTAACACGCTTCATTCCCAAAACATTTATCAAAATGTGTTGACGATTTCAAGCACTGTTTCTTTAATATTTTCGATTTCATTATTTACATACTTGAATGGGCGACTGCATTACTTTCACTAAATGCTTTGAACCACTCAAGTACTTATAGTCGTGATATAGTAGACGCTGAAAAATATTCCTACCACATTTTCAATGATTCCGTAGCCGTGATTCCATTGAAAACACTTTATTTCAAGCAAACTATGTATTAAATTTTTTAGTAAAAATCGCTAAACAAACTTTTCGCAACAGCTTCCAAACACACACATATTGACATATGGAGATCAAACCTCACACGAACATGAAAAAAGGTTGTACCAATCTAGGAAAAAAGATTGTATATTAATTGGTTGGTTGGTTTAAATGCACCGGTCCAAATCAAATCAGATGTAATGCAACAACATGCATAGTTCAAGCTCCTGGTCACATATGTAGCTCGAATCGAGCATCGGATCCAAAGTATACATTTAATGAATATTACATGCAAAAATTGGATTTGGTTGTCATGTACCAGATAGTCCAGAGAAAATATTTTGAAATAAACACCAACACATATGCTCAAATTCTTGATGGCTACTCGCAATGTCACTAATAACAAAATAAAAATATTTTGTGGGAAAATAGACTTTGGGCGTTGATTGATAGACCATCGTTCCCATGCTCATTAATATATTCACGTCATACGAATTGTGTACCGGAGAGGAGGATGGCCTTCTCGGATATGCTATGTGCAGCTCTAAGTTTGCACATTTAAAATAGAACGAAGAAAAACTCTGAGTGTTAATTGGCAACTGAACACTCCGTCATGACATTAATGCTGAAAGAATCCAAACCAAAAACATATGTATATATTTAAAGGTAAATTGATGGAGGGTGAACAGACCAAAAATTTATATGACACCGTTATCTGATCAACTGAAAAACAGATGTCTACAATGTCCAACTGATATATGTAAGTTCATGCAAATAAATGTATGTATTTATTTGCTAAATTTAATACCTTATACTTTTCAAATATGCCATGTATATATATATGTATTTACAACTTAAATGTATACATGTGTGTATATACGTATAGGTATATACACACCCATCTACAAGAAGATAAAATGTAAAAAAAGAAGATTAATCAAAAACGAACGAAATTATTATCAGGTGCTGTATATCGCGTAGCGCGAACAAAGATTTTTTCGTTTGTTCGGCAGTAACAAACAAATGAATTCCAATGCAAATTTGAAAAACTTTAAAAAAGTACTCAAATATTTATGACAATCTAACGCGCTAGTCAAAAATATTAAATGGCGGCGTTTGCCCTAGAAGATATAAAAACGGTAAAACGTGGAATTCTTGCAAATCGACATATTGCAACGCACGTCTTAACGTTTATGGCGGCATTCAACGTGCTAACAGACTAACTGAGGCATAATACAACTACAATTAATTAGTGCGAAATTTGCTGAGAGCTTGGATGTTATGTGGTAGACAAAATTCGTAAACAAATTGAAATCAGACTTATCAAAGTCAAGACCATTATATTAAAATACTTCTAAATATTACATAAAAAATGTTTCGAACTTTGCAACTTTGTTCGCGCATCTTGGTGCGTAAGCAATCATCGCCAAGGCCTGTTCTACTGTAAGTGTTACAAAAATTTTCCATATTACATTCTTACAAACCACCATTCTTATGTAAATATAAAATTTATTGGTTTTTAGGTCGGCAAATTTCGTAACGGCGTTAAAGGGACTGGATGTATCGGATCCGAAATATACAATGGATCAAGGTTAAATCATAATAATACTTTTAACTATTTAGGCTTACATCATACATACATATATACAAACCTGAACAACTATTACAGTTAGGAGTGAGATAATACAGCACTTGGGTTTGGAAAGAGGCTATCATCCTATACCAAAAAGTCGGGAACATTTACTAAAGTATACTCCAAAACCGGAAGATTTACCAGCGCGTTCAATGCAGGATTCGTTCACATCCGCACTACTTCCGTTAAGCACTGATTTGAGACTGCAGGATAATTATGTCTCCCATTTGGGGAACGTACGTATGGGTCGTTTAATGGAAGACTTAGACGCGTTTGCAGGTATATAGTTCTCTTAATATTTAAACGTGTCTTAGAAAGTGATTTTTTGTATTTCATTGAATTAAATAATTAATTGAAAAAACTACAAAAAGGAGGTGCTAACTAATTAATTATGTTATATTTTTTAGTTTGGGTCTGCCATCAGCACGTCAAAGTGCCTAACTTACCCGCAAATGTAAATCTACCATACACATTCGTTACTATTTTGGTGGACAAGATTACTTTTAGCAACTTGACGACGGATGTCAAAGAAGATATACGCATTTCCGGCCATGTATCTTGGGTAGGACGAAGTTCAATGGAAATTGTTGTTTGGTTGGAGCAAAAGTACCAAGGCGTATATAAAAAGATAACACGTGCACTTTTTCTTATGGCTGCCCGCAATGCGACTAATACTGGATCAGCTCCCGTGAATTCTATTACACCAGCTACGGAGGAAGAAAAACAAATTCTTTCCGGTGGTGAGGCACGCAAGAAACGTCGCCAATTGATACAAGCCCAATCTATTTTTAAAGTGGAACCAAATGATTTCGAACAAAGTTTGATGTATGATATCTATAAGCGGACAACACACACCAACACCATGGAGTTGAACAAACGATTGCTTCCCTCAAATGCACGTTGGATGTCTGAATGGAGTACAGTTACAACAATACCATCATTCCCGGATAATCGCAATGCACATAATACTGTCTTCGGTGGATTCCTAATGCGTTTAGCTCTAGAAAACAGTTGGACCGCTGCTTTCCTCTACTGTGGAACTCGGCCCAAGTTAACGCATATTTGCGATATCAGTTTTGAGAAGCCAGTGCCAGTTACATCTTTTATAAAATTGACCTCTTACATTGTATATACCGAAATGAATTATGTACAAATTATGACAGTCGCTGATGTATTAGACACAAGTGGCGGTCAAGTTACTACAAATTTATTTTATAGTACTTATAAAGCTAACGACTCTGTACATGAGATATTGCCGCGATCCTATCAAGAGACAATGTGGTATATACAGGGCAGACGTAAGTTTAAATATGCCTTAGGATTGGAATAAATGGTTTAAGCACAACCTACAGAATCTTCTTAAAGATTATAAAATTTGAATTTATTTAAAAATGATTGTTTATTTATATTTGGAACGATTAGTTTATGTACCTACGCTTTTTATATTTTTATGCTGACACATACATATTCAGTTCATTTACGATATCTGAAACTGTTTATTTTTTAATGTATATGTTTGCATATGTATGTGGGATCGAGCCGTTATAAAAAAAAAAATAAAGTGCAATTTCTGATAGAATATAAAATAATTTGTTTTCATTTAATATATAGAGGCGATTGCAAGTGGGAGCATTTAAAATCTATAGATTTCATCTAACTTTTGCCAGTTAGACGTCGATTTATCCTTGCCACAAAGTTGCCCAAAAACACCCAATTGGGTGTTCTACTCTTACATATAAGTATGTGTTTGTACATACTCAACATTTTCGAAGAATATGCTCTGTGTATATTGATTTAATAAATTTACAGTTAAGATTGCTTGCAATAAACTTAGAAGTTTGTTTTTTAATTCTCTTTCCAGCTATTGCCTCCGTATTTTATATCGAAACCATTTCATTGTGCTCTTAACGGTCGAATATTTAACCAATATATTTTATCACACTAAACAATGTACATTTCCCTTCTTCTCTTTTTATTAATGACGATGTGAATTTCGACCTCTAAATATTGATTCCCATTGAATTCATAAACTGCTTTTCCAATTTTTAAAAATTGTGTATTTTTATTAGTTTGTGTTGACATAAAAATTAAAAAACTGGAAATCCTACAGAAAACCTGAATGCTGTTTAACATTCATACACTTTACCCTAATGCGATATTTAGAATCGCAAGCGATGAGGATATTGCGATGAGTGTAAAGCAAACATATTTTGCAGATATTTCTTGAAGAATTTGCCTTCTGGGTGTGCCTTGATAGCTTTCAACACAGCAGCATCAACTTCCTTCTGGTCCTTTTTGCGTTGTTCGTTGGGAACAAAACGTTCCTTCTTGACAGCGAAGATATCTCCCTCACCAGACTTCTTGTCCTTCTTGATTTTCAAGCGACGGAAATAGGCATCATTCAAGTGTTCTGGGACTTTCAGGTCTCCCAAATTTACTTTAGATGAAGTGCCAATAACAAAGCGCTGCGAAATACGACGCAATGGGCAGGAGTTCAATGCAAATGGACCAGTTACTAGCAACAGTCCAGAGGTCAAAACCTTTAACAACACAACACGTTTGCCTTGGTGACGACCAGCCAACAAAATCAACACACGTCCAGGGGTGAGATTGCGACGAATGTTGCGCTTGTGGTTACTGAAGAGCGACTTAGCTGGACGCTTCTTAACGAAACGTTTGGTCGGGTAATTAGCCTTAGGTTTCTTCAAGTATACGGTACGTTCACCACCGTTTTTGGGTCCATTGATCTTCTTCACCTTCTTGATGGGTTGCTTAGTTTTAGGAACAATTGGCTGCTTCACATTCTTCAAACGGTAAAGAGCACGACGCTTGTACATCTGTAAATTTTGAAAAAGAAAAAATCATATAACTTTATTCTCAAATAAAAAGTGTTAGTTTTATAACTAGGGTATGTATACATGTTGGCAAACAACCTAAACACATTTTAAACTCGACATTCCTCGCATTAACAATGGGCGCATAACTCCTTGAAAACACTTTTCAGAAAATATATATATATAATTTAATTTTTTTCAGAATGAAAGCTCAATTAAATATATGTTCCAATTAGAACTCAAGCAATGATTCTTTAGTACAGACGCACAATACAGCTATCCACTCCTACAAGCGCTGAGCTAACCGTTTTGATAGTGTTTTCACAACTTTTACCTGGCTCTTGGAGTAACGAAGAATTCCTCCACTCAGATATTTGTTCACCGGGTGTTTGTGATTCTTTTTAGCCGTTTTCGCGGATTTTTTTGCATTTTCGACGGGTGCCATCTTAGAAAACACGTGTACACCGCAAAGACATAAATGTAGAAAGGAAGGTTAGACGCGACAGTATTGCCAGATCCGTCAAAAAATTTGACATATGTTAATATGGCCGCCATTATTGTTTCGGAGTTAAGCTCAAAATAAACGCCGGTAGATGACACTATAAGCTTATTTATTCACGATAGAGGCAGAGAATGAGAATTCTCTGAAGAGAACACAATTATAAAAAAACGTAACCAGAGAATAGAATGTTAACAAATTTACTATTTATATATTTTTTAAATTTTTTAATTAACATTCTCTGGGTAATAAATAGACCAGCTACAAGTAGCTATACTAAAATGTAAATTATTAAAAGGGATCATCAATAATGTGCAATTTCTAAAGTAAAATCACATCACGTGAAAAGGAACCTTCCCCTTTTTATAAGCAAATTCAACAACGATAGTGTCTAATCTATGATCGATAGTGTCTAATCTTTAAACCAGAGAACGTAAATGGAAGTTCTTCTAAATTCTCTGATATTACAACATACCCTATATGTGAATATCTAGTCGTTTTGCTCTCTTTATTGCAATTGAATTTTTAATTCATTATTGTAACCCAGTGTTAATCATATCTTCACACCAACTGGTTGCTGTACTCGGGTGGTGGTTGTTAATTATACTGGTATCCCAGTGTTATTCAAGTTTTCACACCAACTGGTTGATGTCAATGAGTGATGGTTGTAATCGAGAATGTATGCATTTAAATTGCTATATATAGAATTAAAATGATGCAATTTCATTCATCTACTCTGGTCAATACGATAGAACTTACGCTCGGCAATCAGAAAGACAAGGTTCAAATCTCATTTAGGCATAAAATTATTATTGATTTGTCATTATTGAAATAGGAATTTATATGTACATAACATATTTAGGCAGGGGGCCAAATAGATAAGTAAAAGACGTAGGGCAGAAGAACCAGAGTAAACGAAGCAATATAAAAAAAAATAAAAACAAAGAAGAAGAAAAACATTTACACATTAGGAGGGTGGTGGGGGTATCGGAAAGGAATACCAGGAGTTGGGATAAATAAGCGCAGTTTGCGCCTTACGCAGTAAGGCGTAAACGGAGCGCCCTTAGATGGGCAACACAACAAGCAAGCACGTGCAGGGCAAAATGACCCATGGTGCATTCTATAGGATTTCCACGCTCCTGGTGGTGGTAGGCGGGTGGTTGATGGTGATAATGGAAGCCCCGAGTGTCCTCTAGGTGATCCACTTGGTTTCATCCCCCCCGCTCATATACCCCCTTAACAGGAAACACAAAAAAGGTAAAAAGTAGAAATTTTGAAATTTTCCTTTTGATTACCTCACCTGTTCAACCTATATCTGAGATTGATGTCTCTAATTAACGTGCACCTGTGCGGCTACATGAATCAAATAGTTGGCGCCATCTTAGATCACCCTGTTTAGGTGCTAATGGCCGCAAAAGGGTGACACGTTAAATTCCAAAGTGTTTTTTGGTCAATTGCCACGCCCCCATTGGTGCTAGGCGGGTGATTGATGATGCAATGGAAGCCCTGAGTGTCCTCTAAACGATGCAATTGTTTGACCACCGCTATATACTCCGGCCGCTAGAGGTCGCAGAAGGGTGGAAAAACACCTGTGTGTAGAACAAAATGATTGTGCATTCTATAGGATTTCCACGCTCCTGGTGGTGGTAGGCGGGTGGTTGATGGTGATAATGGAAGCCCCGAGTGTCCTCTAGGTGATCCATTTGGTTTCATCCCCCGCTCATATACCCCTTAACAGGAAACACAAAAATAAAAGTAGAAATTTTGAAATTTTCACTTTTTTGTTGATTGCCACTCACCTGTTCAACCTATATCTGAGATTGATGTCTCTAATTAACGTGCACCTGTGCGGCTACATGAATCAAATAGTTGGCGCCATCTTAGATCACCCTGTTTAGGTGCTAATGGCCGCAAAAGGTGACACGTTAAATTCCAAAGTGTTTTGGTCAATTGCCACGCCCCCATTGGTGCTAGGCGGGTGATTGATGATGCAAATGGAAGCCCTGAGTGTCCTCTAAACGATGCAATTTGTTTGACCCACCTAGCTTATATACTCCGGCCGCTAGAGGTCGCAAAGGGTGGAAAACACCTGTGTGCGGGCAAAATGACCCATGGTGCATTCTATAGGATTTCCACGCTCCTGGTGGTGGTAGGCGGGTGGTTGATGGTGATAATGGACCCCGAGTGTCCTCTAGGTGATCCACTTGGTTTCATCCCCGCTCATATACCCCTTAACAGAAACACAAAAGGTAAAAGTAAATTTTGAAATTTTCACTTTTTTGTTGATTGCCACTCACCTGTTCAACCTATATCTGAGATTGATGTCTCTAATTAACGTGCACCTGTGCGGCTACATGAATCAAATAGTTGGCGCCATCTTAGATCACCCTGTTTAGGTGCTAATGGCCGCAAAAGGGTGACACGTTAAATTCCAAAGTGTTTTTGATGTGCCACGCCCCATTGGTGCTAGGCGGGTGATTGATGATGCAAATGGAAGCCCTGAGTGTCCTCTAAACGATGCAATTTGTTTGACCCACCTAGCTTATATACTCCGGCCGCTAGAGGTCGCAGAAGGGTGGAAAAACACCTGTGTGCAGGGCAAAATGACCCATGGTGCATTCTATAGGATTTCCACGCTCCTGGTGGTGGTAGGCGGGTGGTTGATGGTGATAATGGAAGCCCCGAGTGTCCTCTAGGTGATCCACTTGGTTTCATCCCCCGCTCATATACCCCTTAACAGGAAACACAAAAAGGTAAAAAGTAGAAATTTTGAAATTTCACTTTTTGTTGATTGCCACTCACCTGTTCAACCTATATCTGGTAGTATCTCTAATTAACGTGCACCTGTGCGGCTACATGAATCAAATAGTTGGCGCATCTTAGATCCCTGTTTAGGTGCTAATGGCCGCAAAGGGTGACACGTTAAATTCAAAGTGTTTTTGGTCAATTGCCGCCCCATTGGTGCTAGGCGGGTGATTGATGATGCAAATGGACCCTGGTGTCCTCTAAACGATGCATTTGTTTGACCCACTAGCTTATATACTCGGCCGCTGGGTCGCAAGGTGGAAAACACCTGTGTGCAGGGCAAAATAATGGTGCATTCTATAGGATTTCCACGCTCCTGGTGGTGGTAGGCGGGTGGTTGATGGTGA